CGTTTTGTTTTTTTAATCTGCGCACAGATACGGTTTTCGCTTCCGCAATATTTCTTTCTCGAACCTACTGTAGTGTTACCAAACTTAAACCTTTCAGCCGGTCATTGACGTACGTGCAAAGAAGTCGCACAAAATGTTTCACGAAAATGAAAGACATTAACAACTGAACAAATACCATGAAACTAAGAAAAAATGATAAATCTTACCTTCTTGGCAAATTCTAAACTTAGCAATTGACGTAGCCCAGTATTATTATAATATTTCARTGGGTTTTGATCAGTTTTAGGRCGTCGTTGCCGTAGAGTAGCAACATCTTTCTAATTATCGATGTTTACTTCAAAAAAAGAAAAGAAAATTCGGGACAGCTGTTTAAATAGAAATTAAGTTATTTGCATTCTGTTTAGATATGCGTGGCCAATGATAATCATTTCTCTTATCAATGATTATTGTATACTACAGTGGTTTACCTAGATATGGCTATTATTTTACTGTTCGTCTCACTATTTTATAGAATTTATCGTTGATTAGTATCATAAGTTTTAAGAGTTTTATTGCCTTTAAGACACCGCAACATTGATTGCAGCGATAAAGGTGCTCTCTCAGATATTGAATCCCCAACGCATTTCCCCTTTATAATCACCCAGTTTAATTAGCTATTATGATCTTATAACGGTTAAGGTGTTAACAGAGCGTTGAATTTCTTAAAAATACGTAATTACTTCTAAATATTTATAATGTAGTATATGTTATTACTTGTCAATTCAGTCTCTTTGGCGTTCATTGGCCCTTGAAATCCTAGCTGCTGAAGTCGTCTTTTGAATTGAAATGTCAAACTCAAATTTACTTTCCTCTCAGTTATAGGTGATTTAAAGCAATGACGGATGAATGGCCATAGTTTAGTATAAAGAAGTGAATAAAACAGACTGCGATATAGTTAAGTTTACTAACGTGCAAACGTTAACACAATCATAAAAGGTTTCAAAGAATCACTATAGCGTGAGCAATTTCGAAGGTAGTGTAACGATTTTTCAGATTTTTGCCTGTTTTTTTTTTCATTGTTCATCTCGTCTGTTCCCACAGGCAGCCTACCCATTAAGTTTTTGGCTCGCAGTAATTTCACGTCCTTTTGGCAGTCACAACAATAAAGATCAGTTAGATCACTTGCTCGTGCTAATCGTAACAACTCTAAGATTGACAGTAGGATAAGTCCTTTGTCTTCGAAAAATGTGAAACATTTCTCGTCGCAGATCTGCTCGAAGAGACGAATAAATCATCGGGTTAACAAAAGTGGAAGCATGCGCTGTCCAAACGGACCCTGACATTGTTCCTGACGAGAGAACGAATCCTAAAGACTCGAGGGACCTGGTAGCTGCATACGGGGCCCAACATACTAAAAACACAAATATGATGATGATTGACACCATGGCTAGTCTTGATTCAATCGTTGCTGAAAATAAGATATATCAATATATTAGTGAACAGAGATTGCTTGTATGAAAGATGGATATTAAATTGGCCACCCGGCGGATGATATAATTAAAGACTGTAATCTGGTGGATTCGAATATATTTATGATCATTTTACTGCATCATTTCTAAGGCTTTATTCGGTGGATAAGATTATTCAACCCGCGAATAGTCGGCTTCACGCTTATAATGTAACCCTCCGCGGCGTGCACTTCCGCGTCACGTGGTCGACTTTCGACCAATAATAGCGGAGGAAAATTTTTTGCTGAACTATATGAATGCAGAGCGTGTGAGGATACAGCGTTCAATAAAGTTTTATCAATATTGAGCAATTATATGCTTCCCTCTTATGATGCAGAGTATATTTCATTTCCTTCTACGCTCTTTGTCCGGTTCAATGATGACCGCATTATGCACACGGCACTTGGTATTTCATTTACAATTTCTTGAAGTTAACAAAAAGTTGGAAATAACTTGGATTTGCGTATTTATGTCTCCAGATACCAATTTGACATTTTTTGTAGATAGGTTTTTTTGAACTTAATCAAACATACTTATCAAACAAAGGATGATTTCTTTATCACTTTTGAAGATTATATTTGACAATGATGTGTCATGGTGCAAGAAAATATGAAATAACGCCGGTCCACGCACGTAACAATTATATTAAAGTATAATTTAAACTACATGACAGGATATTCGCCCGATAGTGGTTGCATTATTGAAAATATACACAGTGAAAGAAGAGTCTGCAAGATTAGTTAAATTTGTACACAGAAAACTGCAATCGCCTAAAAGTCAATCGAACTCAAGGCGGAACTTCCAGCTTCTCTCGCTAAATATGCGGCTTGGGAATCGATTTGTGGCTTAATTTTTTTTAGTTACTTTATAGTATTTTCGACATATTCCATGGATATATGTTGTCAGAAAGAATTTTGCATTGCAATTGACCTTATTTTTGTAAGGCAAAATACATTTACATTTATACCTCTTCTGTTCGATGCCTCTTCTGCTCGACTACTGGATGACGACCTCTGCGTTTCTCTCAAGCGATAATCCAGAATTCGCTTGTTGTGACCACGAACCAGTATCAGAGTCCAAGAATTCAATACAGTAAGCAAGATCAACGGTATGCCGAGGTAGATCATGAGCATGGCTAAATTGAATGCCATTGGCAAGCTACTCCACGATAGCCCACAATCAAAACCGTTCAGATGGAATTTGATCTCCATAAAAGACACACAAAGAATAACGAATAAAATACCATGACACCAAGGAAACAACATCATAGTCACTCTAACTCGCGAATTCATCATAAATTTATATCGTAACGGAAATCCAAGAGCGATAAATCGGTCTACACTTAACATGACCAGAGTAGCAATTGAAATGAAAAAGAAGGCATATGAAGCCATTCCACCGAGTTTGCACAACAAGCCTCCATGCCTGATCAATGTAACGTCTAGAACTGTAGAAAGCTGATAGCTTAAAGGAAATGCGGCCGTTATGAAGTCAGTCACTGCGAGGCTCATGATCAACTTGTTAGCAAAGCTGTGTCGGAGTCGTCCGTTCCTAACAAATGCCAAAATCAAAAGACAGTTCCCACAGAGGCTGAGAGCAATTATGATAGCCAATGAAACTGAAAGAGCGATAATCTCAAGTTTTGAGCGAGTTGAATCAGTGTTCTTGTACATGATGGTAGTGCGTGCCCCGGATATGTCGTGCAAACTCTAGAAGAGGACGGCGTTCAGGTTACACACTTGCCGAAAACATAGTAATCGCGTAATTTCCACCTGTGTGTGTTTGTTTTATACACTTACGTGATGTGTTATGTAGTTACTTAAGGGATTTCACGCTGGCAGTTATATTAAAACACATTTAGAATAGCTATTTTTAATCCSTTTCGGTTCCAAGAGGATTCTGAACCTTTTGGTTCAATCGCAAGTGTACAGGCATTCTGAAAAAGAAGGTAGCAAATACTAAAAGTCGTCCAYTAMATTTGGCTTACCTGAATTTCAGTTACCTTTCAAGGTCTTCTACAATCCAGCTTTAGAATTCAATGACTATATCGGAAGTGGAATTAAGTTCAGCTAATTTGATTCTGATCAAAGCAAATATATAATGATACAGTGTGTGTAGTTTCAAAGAGTACGAGGCAAGGCAGATTAATCTTTAAACTAACTTTAAGCCGCAACATGTACCWAAAAGGAACACGACGAGTGTTGTGATCAGCCTCAAAGTATTCTGTATTTATAACTGGAAACATCACAGCATGAAAGCTCTCCGTATTTTATAAATCTCACAAGGTTAACTCAAGACCAAGTATGGAATTCTTATATTAAAAGAGCACTGCCGCTGAAAAAAGTGCGCGTCGACAACCAGTCAGCAGAGCGCAAATACATTATACTTAAGCAATAGGATAAAGAGCCCCTTTTAAAGGCTTAAATTAGATGAATTTAACCACTGCAGTGTAGTTCACAGCGGATGGAAATGGACTCTCCTTCTAGAAGCGCCGCGCACACCACGAAACTGAAACAATTCTATAGAAATGAAAAGACGTTTTCCATCAAAGAGTATGTGCTAATGTAGTTGTAGTTCCGCAATAAGTTCTACTATTACATCTAATGGATTGCAACCTGACATGATACTTCAGTTCACGCGGTTGGCGTTGTTTAGTGACGTTATTTGTGATATTGTGACAAAAGATACTGAGCGCATTTTGAAAGTTGAAAAGTAGAACAAATTAAGGAGCAAAAGCGTGTCAAAGAAAACAATAGTACATGGATGAAATAAAAGGTATTCTAGAACTTTCTTGGATCCACCGAACGTTTTAGGTAAAGCAAAGGATCACAAAGGCTCTCGGACCGCGAAACCGACACACAGGCAGTACGGCACAAAATGGTCTCAATGGGGTTGCTGTTTTATGCGGAAGAACCATAATGAACGAATCAGAAAGCACCTTTTTCAASAACTTATCTTTTTAGGTAAAGCGAAGGAAAGGCCCTCGGATGCAAGAGGACAGAGAAACACTAAAGCCTCAGTATAAATACGACCGACAAAGGCAGTACGGACGGAACAAGATGGTCTCAAGGRGTGGCTTGTTTTACGGAAGAACCGTCGGGAGGTACATATTTTTATTGATTTATTATAATTTTTTATTATCATTTTAGGAGGTTAAATCTTTAACTTGCTTTAAAGAACTAAACATCACCCCTCTCTTGACAATAATTAGGTAAGTCCCTTAGGGAAGAAATCTTTCTAAATACTACTTGCTTAAAGTRATGAAAAGTGTCAACCAAGTCCAGTTTTCAACGATGCGTAAGACGTCGACTCTCTACATTGTAGACGGACAACATACAAATCCTTCTCGAAGAAATCTCAGCTAAATTTTTTCAACCATCTTTTTATTAAAAGTCTGATATTTAATTTCTTGGTCAATTTCCTTTCTAGGTCTACTTTGGGATTCCTATGCTTTACGGTCATCCATAAAAGGAAACATTGCATAGGCTGTCCAGTCCCTCGCGATCAGTCGGGGGTGGAAATACTGTAATCGTTGGCTAGCGMGAGCTGGTAGGGCCTTTCAAGTCGGTTCTTCGTGATTAAAATACCCTAAGTATATGTAATATGGAAGCCACTGCTAAGCACGACTTTCAAGCTAGCTCAGACGATGAATTATCGTTCAAAAAGGGGACTATTTTAAAGGTAACGACCGACAAACACCATTCGATCGTGCCATTGGTCATCATTACGGGGCATTACGACTATGTCAATTATAAGATGCTCATTTCTTGTTTGTTGTTAGATCTTAAATATCGATCCCGAGCACCAGTGGTACAAGGCTGAATCAGAAGGAAGAGAAGGTTATATACCAGCGAACTACATAGAAATGAAACCACACGAGTAAGTTTGCTACGCAAGAAAGTCAAGTTTTTACGAAGTGACTTTGTAGATCATAGTTAGTGCTTTAGGTCTAAGGTCTAAATACCGACGACAGATCCTTGAAGATTTGCAATAAAATTATTCTCTTGTTGAGGGTCTTTGAATGATTTATAAAAGCTCGCTGAATACGACAAGTAGTTATTATTTGATTGCTAGTGATATTTAATGTATTATCCGAAGACATAACCAAGACGAATGTGGTTCCATATCAAAAAACTTCCTGTTAATTACATCCTGTGAAATGTACATTTAGTGGCAAATAAAGCACGATTAGTCCTAGTATATATGCAAATTATTTTTAGATTGATTTTTAACCCGGTAAGTTCTGCATAGCCAAAACTATGCGATCATGCATATTCGCATCACAGTGAAGCACATTTGAGGGAAGTTTTATTAATATTTCAAGCAAATTGTCGATGGCTTTGAAGTGAACAGCTTTTAGTAATACTATACTGTGTTCAAGCTTATTCTCTCGATGTGGTAACTTTTATATATGGCTTTTAGTTTCAATAGATCATTTAGATCTTTTGGATAAATTGGGGTTCTAAGTATTGGTCATCGTTTGATGACGTCGCTTTCTCTGCATGAGTTAACTTTTATAAACTGAAACAATCAACACATAATAATTTATTTCTTTGTGGTCAATACATAGCATTTTATCGAGTTAATTACGTGTCTGTAGTTAATACACACCTTGAAATTTCAAGGGCAAGATATCGTTTAACTTTATTTAAGCATTTGTCTCAGGCTATTGAGTATAGCAGGTCTGGATTTTTAGATGTTTCAGCAAGATCATCTTTCCAGTTTCATTTACGAATATAAAAATTTGAAGAGGACATTTAAATAGGGGAATGACATCACTGTTTCATGTTGATCACCWTTATATTGCCATCWTCTTTAATCAAATTAAATTGTTCTRCTGCCTGGTAATTTGGATAATGTGTGTAAAAAACGTAAAGCAACCAAATTAAATTGTTTTGCTGGCTAATATTTGGATAAAGAATGTAAAAAAAAACCTTAAATGTTACCGAGCAATTCCTGCTAATGATAATGACCTAGCTTTCATACAATTAAAAACAACATTATTGTGTCATATCCTATCATTTTCAGCTGGTTCCATGGAAGGATAAAAAGAAGTGACGCAGAAGCAAATTTAATGAGAAGCGAGACGCAAGATGGAGCATTTCTTATTCGAGAGAGTGAGAGCACACCTGGTAGGTTGAATGAAATGAGATCAAAGAACATTCTGCTTAATCGTTGGTTATTGGGGAGGGGAGAGGGTGCTTAATCTTTGTGAATTGGGGGACTCAACTCATCGAATCTGTTAAATAAATGTACACACCAAGTACAATATATAATATATTATGATATGGTTAATGACCTACCCAAACTCTATGCTAGACTATAGTGACAATTACCTATGCATAAGTACTTTGATTAAAAGTAGTAATCTTCTTCATAATTGTACAGTGTAATCATTGTCCTTTTATTTTTATTTATTTTTTTATTTATTTTTTTTTCAGGGGACTTCTCTTTATCAGTTAGGTATGTATTTTATATATTATACAAGCCATTTTTACAATGTTCATCATTTACAATCAACAATTGGGTTAAAATAATTAATAAGTGGACAAATTACCCTATTATGATTTTTAGATAAATTAAAGTATGCAAAACTAAATTCATTCTAAAATGCCTTACCTCAATATGACATCAAGCCATTGCAGATTCAATCCACATGTGCACGTATCAGATGAGTTTCAAAACAGGTGTACCTAAAAATAAAGTCATTTATGAGCACAAAATTATAATTAAGGTATAAAAAACAGTTTTCTGTGTATTATACTCTTCGCGTCATGGTTTCCTACGCTTCTCTCATGTTCTCCCCACATCCCTCGTGTTTTTATCAGAGTAAAATACAYRGAAAACTGTTTTTTATTGCTTTTATAGAATAACAAGCACTCAAATATTCATGAGAAAAAAAAGCTGAGAAAGTTATTTTATAATGGCCATTTGAAGTTATTTTATAATGGCCATTTCCTCCAGTTTCGAATTCTCTTTTGTGCAAGCTTAGCTTCAATCAAGCAAAAATTTTAATTGTCTTCTTTGTACACAGAGTTTTTGCATTACAATAGRATCTCTGCTGAATAAAAGAATACATTACATGCTTTTGAGCTTAAGGCTGCACAAATAAGATCTCGAAACTGGAGTATTATAAGTAATGATCTCTGTGACTAAAATAGTTATGAGGGTGGGAGATGCAATACTAAATACTGCTAAATTATGCTAGTTCTATTGTTTTCTATTGTTTAATTAACGCTATTTTGTAGTAAATAGTGGAAAGTGTTGCACACATTTAATGTTTGTACTCTATAATTTTATAATATTATTATTATTGTTTAGTAGAGTGCTCGCACTAAATGCGTGAAATATAAATACTACAAAATAGGTGATAAATTATACAAATTTCTTTGTTTCCTATAGTATAATCAACACTATTTAGTAGTAATTAGTACTATTCGTTTCACGCTTTAAGTGCGAGCACTCTAGTAAATCATAAAGATGTTATCCCTGAATAATAATATTATTATTTTGTTCCAACAGGGTTAACATCTTTGAGATTTACTACTAAACATGTCATCATCATAATAATAATAATGACATCATAATGACATCATAATGACATCATAATAAATTAATAATGACATCATTAATAATGACATCATAATGTCATCATGTCATCAATAATAATAACTTAATAATTACTGATAGCTATTTTTAACTAATAGCTATTTTTGTTTTAAGGTTCCAAAGCAATGTGCAACACTTCAAAGTTCTGAGAGACGGAGCTGGAAAATACTTTCTTTGGGTGGTCAAGTTTAATTCCCTCAATGCRTTAGTTGAGTATCATAGAACGTCATCTGTTAGTAGGTCTCAGCAAATATTTCTGCGAGATAAAAAGTCTGGGAATGATCAGGTTTGTGAATTTTGCAGTATTTTGGAATGTATTGTCGCAAGAACTCATTGTGGCCTTTCTATCTTTCAGAGCGATAACTCCCTGAATGTAACAGCCCTATTTGACTTTGAGGCACAAGAAGAGGGCGAAGTAAGCTTTAAGAAAGGAAATCTAATAAAAGTTTTGGAGAAAACTGATCCAAACTGGTGGAAAGGGCAAGTTGTTACTGGAAATCTAAGTGGAAATGTTGGTCTTTTCCCATCAAATTATGTCAAAGTACCCAAATAATGACGTTATTGCACGYATTGAACTGTTCCCACCAGMAAGAACTCATATCACAGTATTAGGGAGAAGTTRGTATTCTAGAAAAAACCTTTTGTATTAAATGTATTTTGCTACAGTCTTCTAACAAATGATATATGACATAACTAGTGGATTAGTTTGTCATAATTACAATAGGTGAAAATTATATAGTTGATAATTAATGATTTCTAATACCTATTTCAAAAAATGGTTTGTTGGATAAAGTGGCAAACAGCAATTGTCAAATGGAGATTGCACSACTGAAAGGAGCCAGTGTTTTTAGACACTAGCRTAGTTGAATCACRGGCTTTAATTTATGCTGTGATAGTTTCCCATGGAAACTGGATGACGCAGTTTGAGRGCGACTATRAAKTTTTGAGAAACATCCCATTTAGGGCAAATATCACATCGAAATGTTGAGATTTTAACTGTTCTATTGTTTTTATTATTCAACATCCAAATTTTCTGAAGCGGCAGCTCTCCACAGCGGGTACTATAGACATCAYGTGGTAGACTMTTGACCAATGAGAATGGAGGAAAATTTGTTGTTGAMTATGATATAAGATAGCCTGTKGTATRMATAGGCTCCTTTTAGTCTTCACGCAAGATAAATCCAACAACTTTGACAAACAGTATAACTATATTTCATTTCAGCCATATAATTGGCATTTGACAATTGCTATTCGTCAATCTCMCCACCAACATTTTTGAACTAGGTGTATTTAAGCCATCAAGCATAATCTCTAAATGGGAAAACATTGTAGCTTATGAACTGTAAAAATTATTAAGAGAATTAAATGGTATGTTTTGACCTATTTAGATGGCTAATCTAAAATAATTGAACTTCTTGGCCTTGTGGATTGTGAGGTAAAATCCTACAGCTCAAACAATACAGTCTACTCTCTTGAAGTTCATTTATTATCAATAAAATGAAAGTTCAGGTAGTCTATGCTCTATCTACTTAAATGTACTAGTTAACCAGCAGAGCACAACACTTGTAGCTTGTGTTGAATCAGGAAATTTTCTTGCTCAAGAAAATTCTAGATGCAACTCAAGAAAAAGAAGAAATGATTCTCATTATTCTATAAAATGGTGTGCAATTTTAGATGGTTATCTTTTGATCAGGCAAGTAATAAGAACGCTTGCTCTTATATATTTTGTCATGTTAGTATATSATCTGTTCAATAAGTTTATCTAGTATTTGTAGAAGTAAGCTTAACTAATGTGAAAATCAAAATTTCATTCAAGTTTAATGAAATTTGTCCTTTTATCAGCCTTTTTTTGGTAACTGGCATTTGCAATGTATATATTATTAATGAAAAATAATTTGCTAGATCTAATAGTTTTAGTTTAAATAAATGAAGAATGATTTGCTAAATATAATAGTAATTAGTTCAAAAAATAAATCTAATCTGCAATGGCTAGCGGAAAACATTTATTGATTTGCAATATATAGATTATTAATCGTTATTTAGTGGAAAATAGATTTTGTAATTAAAGTTTACTCGATGCATCTTCACATCGTTTTGACTCTGTTTCCCAAGAAAATATTTATCAACTTACCTCTGTGTGTTCAGTTTAAAAATCTTGGAGGTGTACAGTCGGCGAAAATCCAGGAAAATGGCAAAATGTTCGCAAACATTGCGGAAAATGTGAACCGCGCGCTTTTCAAAAATTTGTTCGCGCGCTTGCGCTCTTAATCAAGCACGTGGTCTCTACGTCACAGGTTGCGCTTTTCCCATATAAGGTCTGCTCATTGATTCTTACTTTTTTCTTTTCTTTTTTCTTTTCTTTTCTTTCCTTTTTCATTTTTCTTTCCAATCTTTTTATTTTGTAGCTTTCTTAACTGTATTAGATACCTTGTGTTCGGGAACAAAACCAGACATAAAACTCAACATTGACTTTRAAACTTTGCGTTATGCCACATTGTAGATTGCAAAGCCGTATGGGTAACGGCGTATGCGTGCAAGAGTCAAACCAAATGACGTAATAATAAGGTAATGACGTCACAATCAAATAATTACTCCCGATGACTCGACGCCGCAGCTTATGATTCGCTTTCTTCAATGTGTGCTATTATTTTTTCTTATCTCAAAGTTTGTAGATGGAGTTTCGTCATCTGAACAGAAAACCTTTGTACGTCTGTTTGGTCGCGCACTTCGAGGCGTAAGTTACTAGACTCCYGTAAAAAAAA